GGATGGTGATGATTTGCCCAATCCGATAAATTTTGATGCTTTCAAGAAATAGTACACTTAAAAAAATGAAAAAATTAGAAAAATGAATTAAAAAAAAAAGATGACTTAAATTGAAAACTCAAAAGAGGGTCCATCTAACTTGAAAACCTAAAAAGATGGCTTGGATGAGGAAGATCCAATATTGAATTTAGGAACTCACTAACATAAAGGCTAGCATGTTTTGATGAGCTCTAAATTGTTAAGTGCATCAAATGGTTAAGTTTTTAAAAAAATTAAAAATAAGTTATCATGATTATTTGATCATTCATTTTAGGCGTTGTTGTCCCAATAATTCATCCTTGTAATTTTTCTTTTTTTATTGTTTAGAGCCAAAATTGTTCAAATAAAAGAGATTTCATCTCATTCCTTATTCATTTTAATGGCTATGTCTTATTCTCAATCCATTCCTTGGCTTTTCCCTTAAATAACTTGCAATAAAAGAAATATGTGATTGTATTTTAATTCTTAAAATTAAAATAATGATCAATAAATAAATAATAGCATGAAAGATTATACATTACCTTGGAAAAGTTGAATATGATAAAGGTAAATATAAAATGTTCAGGGCCTAATAAAGACACTAAATTTGAAAATGAAAAAAAAAAAGATTTCTTTAAAAGGAGAATATGGGTGCTAGCATTGAATGAAAGTGAGATTGAGAATCGAGTCAGTTTGGTCTTATTGCTTGAAGCTTGAAGAGTTCGAGATTCAAAGTAAATAGTCTTAAGAACTTGTGTACCATAATTTAAAAAGATATTAATTGACATTTGCATAGCATGTATCACAGTTAGGAATGTCTAGTGCATGACTCTAGGAAATAGGGATATATGGAAAAGATGAATATGAAGACATTCCAGTGAAGGAATTTTAATTTCTCGTTTAAGAAAAAAAACTACGAGGTAAGATTCTAATCCTTAAAAAATGATATTTTAAAAAAATTAATCATGGTTAAGAAAGATTTTTCAAACTTTTAAAGTTGTGAAGCCTTTGTTTAAAAAAGCATTTTTAAATACTAGGAACAATTTGTAAGACCTTTAGGCATAATCTTTTAGTTTTTTCTGACGCTATCTGTAAGATCTCTAAGTATGATCGTCAAAACTTTTGGGTGTAGCCCTATTTTTAAAGTTGTGTGACCTATTTATGAGAAGCCCTTGTTTTTAAAGTTGTGTGCCTCTGTTAAAAAAAGCATTTTTATATTTTTCAAAGTTGTTAAGCCTTTATTTAAAGGAGCATTTTATATTCTTCAAAAAGTTTGAGTGTCCATTTAGAAGAGTCTTTTCAAAAAAAAAATGTTGAGTCGGTTATCTAGATATATAGGCCATCTATGTCTTTGCACGACTCATGTTTCATAAAAAATACACAAACATGGGCAACTATAGATATCCCATTTTGTCTAGGGTTAATTTTATAATGTAATTTATTATTTGGCTTGGGTTTTTTGTCAAAAAACAAAAAAGAAAGAATTGTTTTATTGAAACTTAAAGAGGGTTTAATTCAAATTGGGTTGTTGAATTGAAAGTGTTCTAATTGAAAAGGACTGTAAAAGAAAATTGGTTTGAGAGGTGGATTTGAATTAAAAATCTAAGGTTGAAGTCAATTAGGAGATTCAAATCCATAAAAACTTATTTTCCTATTGTAATTAGGATTAAAAGCCTGTAAAAAAACCTCATTAGGATCAATAAAAAACAATCACGCACAACGACGGATGAAGATATATTAAGAATCAATAATCACAGATCCAAAAATCAGAGCAAGCAAGAACAAAGAGAACAAATGACAACAATGACCAGAGCCATCAAAGCAAAATTGAAAAAAAGATTCGAAAAAAAGCAATAAGGCTTCTAGCAAAAAGATTTGAAGTAGTTTTTTTAAGTTTAGGATTTGAAAAAGTTTGGTTTGATTCTAAAATTAAAAAATTAAAGGAGTCTGATTCGTTTCTTTTTTGGCCTTTTTTTTAAACAATTTTTTGGAAATCTCAAAATTCCTTGAAGATTCTAGTGAGTTTTTTTAAAATCCAATGAGTCTTTCTAGATTTTCATGGGATTCTGATCAAGTTCTCAGAATCTAATGACTTAACCTAAAATCCAACAAGGATTCTCTAGAAATTGACGAAGCCTTTCACTGGCATTCAAAAATTCTAGAAAGAGAAAATAAAAGAAAAAACAATTAAAGAGAGAATATAAGAGGATTTTGAGGGAAAAATTTTGGTTTTATATACTTCGGGAAAACGATGTCATTTTGAGCTTTAACCTCCTTAAGATCCACATGTTTTCATTTTGCCTGACCTTGTCCGTTCCATTGAACCGAGAACCCATCTTTGTTGCTGAGTTGACTAAGCCTTGAGCTGCTAGCCATGAGCCGTATTGCTTTCTTGTGCCTTAAGCCACTATTCCTCAACTGCCCAGCAAAGTTGATTTTTAAGTATATTTCATTTTCATATTTTTTTTCTTTTTGGATTTTTTTTCATTCATTTGTATATTCCCTTTATTAATATGTTTCTTTATCTATTTATTTGTTTGTTTGTTTATTTTATTATTTATTTTATTTATTTGACTATTTATGTATTTATTTGTAGATATTTTTTATAAAAGGTAACAAATATATATCTTTTCAAATAAAAATAAACCTTACCAACATATTGGTGGGTTCAAATTTCTAAAAAAATAAATGTTTAAATAAAAATTGAATCTTACCAACATATTGAAATATTCGAATTTTTAATAAATTATTTTAATAAAACAAAAAGCCTTACCAGCATATTGGAAAATAATTTTAATTTCAAAATAAGATTTTACCAATATATTGAAGAACTTTATTAATTTTTTATAAAAAAAAATAAATTTAAAGAAAAAAAAGTTTTCAATAAAACTTTACCAACATATTGGAAGGCAATTTATTTTCAAAATAAGATTTTATCAACATATTAGAAAACCTTATAATTTTTAAGTATAAATTAATTTTTAGAAAATAAATAATTTTCATAAAATCTCACCAACATATTAGAAGATAACTTTTAGCAGAAAATCTTATTAACATATTGGAAGACATTTTTAGAATTAAATTTTTTTTACAAAGTTAGATTTTGAATCTCCGATAATAGAATCACTAAAAGCATTGCAAATATCAATCTCTATATAAATTCTTAGATGAAAAATCCTTTCTAAATTTTACCAACATATTAGGGAATTCATATAGGAATTTTCAATATTAAGATTTTAAATCTCATTTGATTATCACAATCAGTTTTTTTTTTTTTTAAATTAATGAATCCGACGACGGAGCCTCTTCAAAGTGTGACAAATAGTCTCCTTAAATACTCTTGAAATAATGGAATGTTCTTGAATTATTACCAATATATTGAAGTAATTTAAGGATAATTTCTGATATTAAACTATTAAGTAAGTTTTTTAGGCTTTTGGATAATAGAAATCAAGCTAATATCATCCTTTCAGTGGGTGATGTAGAGGTGCTATAACCTTCTTCACATATAATCGAACTCCAAACCTAATCTTAGTTTCTTAGACATGAATTTTCTTTTTAAAAATACCTAAATCAAGCTTGAAACTTCTCTTTAAAATGAGACAGATTCAATCAGATGATTATCATAATCAATTTTTTTTAATCTCATTTGATTATCACTATCAATTTTTTTAAATATTAATAAATCAAACAACAGAGCCTCTTCACAGCATGATAAATAGTCTCATTGAATACTCCTGAGGTGAAGGAGTATTCTTATTACCAACATATTAGAGTAATTTAAGGATAATTTTTTATATTAAATTATTAGATAAGTTTTTTAGGCTTTTGGAAAATACAAAATCACGTTCGTATCATCTTTTAGGTGTGCGATGTGGGGATACCATAACATTTCTAACACGTAACCGAACTCCTGAATATAGTCTTGATTTTCATAGACATGAATTTACCTTTTAAAATACCTAAGTCAAGTTTGGGTTTTCTTTTTAAAATGAGACAAATTCAATCAAATAACCAATCACATCTAAACTAAAAAAAATAGTAGCAACTTTTTTTCTAACAATAGATCTATAAATCTATATATTATGACAATACCACAGTATTGTTACATAATGTTGGACAAATGAACATCATGGAGTTAATAATTGTATTCAGACGAATGGGAAATTTATTTTGATGAGCTCCGCCAAGAAGTAAAATTCACGGGTTTCCAAATTTATGACGATGGTAGTATGGTGGGTGAAGAGTCAATTAGAAACAGCAGATGATTTATGACTTTTTGAAATGATTCCAAAAACATATGTTACTATCGGCAACCTACTTCATGCTTTTTCTGTTCTAATTTTCTCCTATCAATCGATCCTTCAGCGATTCAACAACTACCTTAGCACTTTTCGGTCTGTAATTTTGGGGGATAGTCAAAGACAGTCTTCAAAACTCAGAAGTAACATTTGTTTGAGACGTTTGGAGTTATCTTATGACCCACGCACAACCTACAACCTTTTCTAAATCCTCTTGCACCATAAAAGCCCGCTCCGATAGCTTAGTATAACATTTAAAGCATATTTATTAATATGCTTATTGTAAGATACTCTTATACTTATTGTAAGATATCATTCGATTCATTATTAAATTGATATGTATTTATATGAAGAATAGATTTTTTCATGAATGATAACATATTTATTGATATACAAATAAATAGATGTATAGATGCATTTATAATAATTTGGATGAGGTGCAATTAAAATCTAATGAGTTCTAATTACCAAAAAAATATAATTTGGACAGTTTTTTATATAATAATAATAATAATAATAATAATAATAATAACAACTTATAAATTTATTCTGTAAATTTTGTTACATGGACCGTCTTAATCCATTGTCCTAAAGTTTCAGTATCAATGTTGGTATAAATAATTAATTAAGCATATCTTGAAAACATTCAGTATTGGATACGTTTCCAATTAAGTGAAAATCATTATTATAATCAAGTTAAATTACTATACAATATGATACATTTGAATGAATCCATTACCAGATCTTTACACTTGAAAGCTCCCGTATGATTAAATGCTTTGCTTTCTCCTTAAGTAACGTAGTATCAAGTCGATTGAGAATCCTGAGAGTTGCAGGGGACAGGGCGCTCTGATAAACCTCAAATTTCACCATGCTTTGGGGTCTATAACGCCTGACTTTGATCTAGTATCCATCAATCGTGATTTACATCTTCTTGGTCCCCCCATGACAGCCCGTGAGTAAGTGTACCTGTAGTCAGAACATAGCCACAGGACAGGACGCACTCAAAATACATCCCCCCATAAGCAGCAAGAAGTCCGAACAAGTTTATGCAACAGAAACTAAAAACTTTATACCCTTAATCTTATGAGATTATCATACAATGTGGAAACTAAACCAACCAAAATATAGAACATGGACTACATGTTTTAATGACTACGATTCATCCCCTGCCCATACAACAAACTTTTACAATGTACCCAAAACAACGCTTTCATAGCCATATAAACGCTTCACTGGTGGCGATGGTGCTCACACTCTACAGGCATGACCGGGAACCTAGCAGTATCAGTACAATAGTCATAGACCAAGTGATTGGCTCTGACCCACACAAGTTGGTGGCTCTGATGCAAACTTAACTCGGACATTGTAGGTTCATCCCACCAGAACCTCTTCCCACCACTGCTGCTACATTTCTTGGCATTCTCATCTGCTACCACCGACACCGGGCACTCGCATGCATCTATTTCGAAGCCTTCGTAGGAGGCAATGAATGGTGCATGGCTCCAGTCAGTCTTGACTAGGCCACCCTGTGTGGCCCAGTCATCAGCATTCCAAATTGAGCTATATACACCCATGGCTTGGTCTTTAGGAAAAGGAATTCCTTTATGTTCCATATTGGTGTGCACTCTTATTGGGGTCTCATCCACTAGAAATCTGGATTAAGAGAAACAAAGATATAGGTCAAAAAAATTCCAAACGGCAAGAATATAATACAAAAACAAACGATCAAGCAATGCCAAAATCAAGATGGCACAGAAATCCACATACACCTACTACCAACCTGTTAATAAGAATATTCATATTTCAAAAATAAAATAATCATCAATGCCTTTTTCCAGAAAGAATGTAATCTTTAATAATTACAGATCTTAAGGAAACTTCAGAATTTTTTTAACATCACCTCCAAAGTTAATCTACAACAAATCATCAATATCAAGATTGCAAAATTCCAAAATGAATCTGACTTTGCCGCTGCCACCCACCCACATACACACAGAAAACAGTGGGAATTCACTTTGGTCCCCAATGCAGTGAATGGTACAGTTACAAATTACAACCCAAGGTCCAAGGCTATGACAAGAAATCAAGAATTGTAACAGAGTACATGTGTCTGTATATTTACTATTATATCAATCAAGAATTGGCCCATTTTTTCTTTGGTTTGGTTTTTTGTGCAGTTTGGCAAACCAGAGTCTGTATCACACATATGCGAACATGGCATATTACAGCTTACTCAGCAGTCAGCACTAGACAAAACAGAAAATTTACCCTTTCATTACAGCTTTTCGGGACAACCAAAACATACAAAATACATGTATTTACGTATATCGTTGTATATGTTATACAAATTAACCTAATGATAGAAAGAATACTCACAAAACTTGGCGCTGGTTCCAAAGGATGGAGTAAGAGTGAAAGTCCTTTGTGGGGTCAAACCAAAGGTTCATTCTTTGCTCCCTGTTACCTACACCATTCACGTACACATTGGTCTGAACAAGGTATGGTTCACCTGTGGTATTGCCCAAGAACTCGAAATCAAACTCATTGTGGTTTGGACCGTCCGATGACATCTGTGTCAAACAAACATCATAAGTAAATATGTCAATAACACATCATTATCATCACCTATATTGAGTAAAGTAAATTAATGATGAGTGGATCAATGTCTGAATGTGACATGTGAGTCAATTACTAACAAAAACCAATTAAATATACACTAATTAAGTCAATGATTAAGAGGAAAACAAAGATTCTTTACCCTAGATCAATGGTTTCATGGACCATGGTGGGGACAATGAGAAATAAATGTAAAGTAAATTGACTTTAAAGTGATTCACGAGAGTGTAAAGAATAGGTCGCTGCTAGTAGAGTCCAAGCCTCGACATGAGGAAGGAAAAGGCCAATTTTTTATTGTCTACAACTGGAAAAAATTGTTCATTACAATGTGTGAAGTTATGGGGAATTATAATTGAATGGGGGACCCATGTCATGATTCGAGAAGTACCCAGCTGAGCTGTTATCCACCTTACGTGCGTTTAAAGCTGGATAAGAGGCTGAAGCCTGAACAGATTCGTATAAAGAGAAGACGGCCATAAACACAAACACTTTTTTTCTCTTTTGCTAGTAATTAAAAGTTGTAAAAATTTATACACTCACATAGTAAGCAGTAACAGTCCCAGCAGAGTCACCCTCTACAAGCTTAATCTGCAGGGTTACTTTTCCAAATAAATACTTGCTTTTTGATGCAAATCCAGCACCTGATATCACCAACCAACGTTTCATTAATCTATAGGTTGATTAGCTTTACGGGAAAAAGTTTTCACAACATAATGCAGTTTAATAGTCTGCCAATGACAGATTATGATGAAAAACAGTGATTCTTGATTCTTAAAAAAGAGGATAAATGGTATTTTGCTAGAAAAATGTACAAGCTTTGAGCTTGAAGGAGCAAGAAATGGCAGATAATTAATGTGATAAGTGGAAAGTTTTACAGATAGAAGGTTGGTAGTTTACCAGAATAGTTATCAAGTTTGAGCTTAAGGAGCTCTCCTTCATAGATAAAGTGATCCGTAGCCCAACCAGGCTGGAAAAGCTCATCAAACTTAGCTGAGCTTACCAAGCCCAGCATCATAAGAGCCACAAAGAAACCCAAAGCTACAGACATTTTAAACAAAACAGCAATGGAAGTGATAGAAACAGAGCTGTAGAAAGAGAGTGAGAGAGAGAGAGAGCTCAGTGAAGCTTCTGCTCTGAAAAGACTCTGTAGGGAGACTCACTCCTCACAAGCGAAAGTGGGTCATTTTATAGCCAAAAACTCCATTGGCGTGTTTCACAAGGACCAGGATGGCCCACTTAAATGACTAATTTCCACAGGCAAAATCAGAAGCCACGTCACGTGAGTTTATTTTAGCCACGCGAGATTGCAAAACGACAAGAAAAATGACTAGTAATCCAAAAATTAAAAAAATGTAGCCATTACTACGCCATTGCCAAATACCAGTGCTTGACTTTCAGGTGCAAATTAACTGTTTTTAATAAATAATTCGTGAATATATTTAATTTTTATTTATTTATATATTTTTATTAAATTTAAATATATTATGAATAATATTTTTATATTGATTTGTTAAATAAATAAAATATAAATAAAAATATATATAATTTATTTATATTTGAGAATAAATTCATTTAAAATTTCATTTATTTAAAATTTATTTATATTCATTTATTATTTGTTTATTTTTAATTTTATAATTATACATTTATTTAAATTTATTTAATTATAATTTATTTATTATTTATGAATATATTTATTTATTATTTATAATTTATTTATTCTTTATGAAAATAAATATTCTCTCACTTAAATGAATTAAATTTAAATGTAATAATAATTTTCTTACTTAGAATAATTTTTAAAATAAAAAAATAAATTATGAAAATGTATTTATTGGATTACCTGGTTATTACTGAACTTGAATATTGTAGTGGGGCCACTTGGTATGACATGTCGGTTTCAAAAGGCTGGTGTGCAGGTTTTGCGCAATGGTATGAAACCACGTGGAAAATTACAGCTGTTTTTTTCTTAGCTGTCCAGTTGTGAGTGAGTGGCAGTAGGAGTTAAGAAGCTTCCGCATTTGCTCGGAACCATTTGATTTTGGAGGTCCATCTTCGGGACAAAGAAACAAGAAAAAAATGACACCTAATCGCAAGTTTAAGGGAATTCAATTCACTCGCGGCGTTATGTTGACATGTATTACTGATAAGGTTGAGATGAACGTGTGGAGATGGAGGCAACGATGAAGGTGAAATGGGAATAAGAAACGTGGGATAATAAATAGGGTGTTTCTAAGTACACCCAAAAAAGAGTTTTTTACATTCTACCTTTTTTTTTTTTTTAATTTTGACTGTATATAAAAAAGAATTAAAAAATATCTGGGATGTAAATAAAACTTCCTTAATAAATATAGCACTTTCTGCTCTTTTTGGTAATTTTCTTTTTGTTTACTTCGCTGAAGTTGGTGCCAGCTGGACAGTACCAGCGCACTATACATTTCCCCATCTTAAATTTTAAAAATTAAAGGGTTGGGGAATTTTTTTTTTTTTTTGATGTAAATGGTTGGGGAATTTAATTACAAAGAAGTGTTACATTTTTTAAGCCTTGAGATGTGTGCCAACTTTTTTTCATTTTGAGGAGTTTGTTCACTGTTATTATCATATTACTAGTAGACATTAATTTAGTAGAAATAAAGCAATGAAAGATTTGGTCGTACGTAGAAATTTTGGAAAGGGTAAGTAAATGTTAACAGATGTTTGGGATGGGCATCTAATAAAGGGTTGGGGGGAGTCCAAGATTTCCCCAATTTCAACGAGAAAAAGTGATGTTGATAAAATTACTAGTATATTTTAATTTGACTGTATCTTTATCCTTTCACAAGTGTTAACCATCTTTAGGAGACGGGAACTTAAAATCAAGTATGGTTAAGTATAAGAACAACTTGGTTGAAACATTTAGTGCAAAACATGTTGTATATATTATCAAAATATAAAATTCTTAAAGTGTTTTAGATGTTTTATAACTATAAAGATTTGAAATCATATAATATATATTATTTGTATTTGTGATGAAGAAATAATATTTGAAAGTTAATAAATAATTTTTGGAATGAAAAATTAGTCAACTATTTTGAATATAATTCGAAGAAAATTCGAATGATCAAGTTTAAAAAGTAATTTGATTGAAATTTTGCCTTAAAACAACATAATGCCTTGAGGTGGGCATATGGATGTCCTATAAAATTTCAAATTTTATATAAGAATTTAGTTGTGACATTTGAAAAACATTCAAATTCTGTTGTTGGGAGTTTAAAAATTTTGTTCGATAGATAAAATGTTTCATTTCAAAAATAATGATTCTTCATTTAAAATACATCTATTTATAAAAAGAGGTAGTTTTAGCATCGATTGAGACTTATCAATACTTTCATCGAGGTCTATGCCTTGGGTAGATGGATATCTACAGGGTAATCCTGGCAAAGTTGGAGCTAGAGCTGTCAATGGGATCATGAAGGAAAATGGGTAGTGAGCTCATCTAGGTTTATTGGCACTGCTACTAGCATTCTAGCAGAATTATGGGCTCTTGGGGATGGCTTACTTTTGGCTAAGCAACTTAGTATCAGAAAGACTTAAGATCGCGCTTGATGCCTCTGTGATTATTTCAAATTATTCAATGATCGATTGTTACTCTCCTCCTAAATCACTTTCGCATTCTTAATCTCTGATTGCAAGAAGCTTATAAAAGAATTTAACCAACGGCAAATCAGGCACGTATTCAGGGAAGGTAACAAGTGTGCGGCTGCACAGGCTTGCTTTGGAAGTAGAACCTCATGTAATAGGGCTGTGCGTAATGAGGTCCCATATATTATGTTTTCAGAACCTGTTTTTGTTAAGAGCCTGTTGCAAGTCGATGCAACAGGTTTTAATGTGTACCGTACTCTTTGCTAATCTATGGCTGTCCCTTTTGCATAAGAAAATGTCCATTTTGACATAGCTTTATGTTCAATCTTTCAAAAGTCATTTCATTATCTCTCACTATAATCTTTTGATTAATGGTTTATATTTAAGAAATTTTTTAAATGCAATTTTGAATTTTTTTGGGTTTAAGCATTATATCTTGGGAATAAGGTTTTCAATAATCCATTTGTGGTTAAGTTAAAAAAAAAGTTTATTTTTAAAAAACTTTTTATAAATTTCTTCTTTTCAAATTAAATTGCATTAGTTAACCTCAAATACAATAACTTAAAGATTATATAGAATAGATCATTCTATTCATTTTTAGATGTTAAGTGTAACTTTTATAATATAAGCATTTAAATAGAATTTACTTACAAGAGTTAATTTAGTTGATAAAAAAGAAGGTTTTTTTCTTGTCAATCAAAATTTTGAAAAATGCATTCAATCAATGTGAGAAGTACAACATTAAAATCGTTTGAATGCGAGGGAGTCAAGGATTGAGCCAAAATAAAGCTTGAGAATATCCTTAATTACATTATTTAAGAAATTTAAGGAACTTAAATAAAATTTAGCATGAGCTGTATTATCTGCTAATGAGTTAATTCCTAGGAAACTTAATATATATCAAGGTAACACCCAAAATATTAATCATATATTATTTTCTTCATTGGTAGAAGAGCAAAAAGGTTTATTAGTAGTACCATCTTTTTTGTTTTTTTTATAGGTGAATGGTCATATCTTTTTTTTAAAATAGGTGAATGGTCAATGTGCCATGAAAAAAGGGATGAAAATCAGGTAGGCAGCTTAGCTGTTGGCTATACTTTTGATTTCTATGGGCCTTGGACATCATGATGCTAATGAATAAAAGAAAAGAGGTGAGATTAGTAGAGTTGATCCAATTTGATTGGATTAACAAGAAGAGGAAAAAAAAAAAAAAAGGCAAGGAATCTTTTCTCCCCAAAGTGAGTAAAACTGCCAATGTTAGGTCAACCATCTTTGTGCCGTGTCAACAGCAACCAAATGCAAATGGCAATAATTGGTTTCTTAGAGCTGCGTGGGTTCATGGCTGGCTGCCCATGATGGTACGGCAAACAAAATGTGTCTTCGCTTTTACCAAGCAACCAGCTCCAAAAAGTACTATAGCTCTCACTCTGCTTGCTATGAGATAAATTCTGACGGTCCAATTATGAAGACCCACGTGGCAAGAGATATTTTTCTGAAGTCGCCATGGTAAACCCACCCGTGGGTTCGATCCGACGCGATTGCTTATGATAGGATTTTTTTTTAAATCGAATTTTAGATCAAATTAAACTATATAATAATAAAAAAATTTTGAAATTGAATTAAGATCAAATTTTAAATAAATCTGTTTTAATCCGATTTAATATATATTTATTAAAAATTATTTTAAATTATTTATTTAATTTTATATTAATATATATTTTATATTTATTTATATTTATATTAAAAATAATATTTTATTAATTCAAATCGAATTAAATTAAATATAATTTTATATAATACAAATCAAATTAAATTTAAATATAAAATAATTTTAAAAAATTAAATTAAATTTAAATATTATAAATATAAAATTAAATTAAATTCAAAATGAATTAAAATCCACCAAGACCTGATCAATTATCATTCCTAGTGCCAGTACCTTCACTCCACCGTTGTAAGAGGCTTGGCAGATACATAGCTGGGGCAGCTGGGTCGGAGGATGAGAAACATTTAAAGGGCAGCATTTGTAGCTCCAAACTGGCTATTGGTAATTCACATTTGGATAGGGTTATTAAACCCCAAATCGAATGATTGTTGCTTCCTTACTTGGTCGCAAATAATGGTCTTTTCAAATCCCATCTTTGTTGATGGAGCTGAAATGATACCTGATCCAACATGCTGCTACTATTACAGTGTTAGTACCATCTTCTTTCATGTATGCAGTACAAAGGAGAGCAGAGACATGTATAGCTTAAAAAGAATAAACAATTAGATTCCATGTCATTTTCAATGTTACTAAATTACGTGACCTTACATTTACGACTCTGACACGATAAAATAGTAGTAGTAGTAAAATTTTCAAGTCATACTGTTGTCATAATATTATTAATATTATCATTATTATTAACGTTTGAAACCAATTATCCGAAAATTATCTACGTTTAGTATAAATAAAGGTAAAATACGAACGGATTTACACTGGTGGCGGTGGAAGCAACTGGCCCCAACGAAATTCAAAAACCT